CGATTCCCAAGGAGATGATGGTCGCAAAGACGTCCCAGGAGCTCTTCGCCTTCCTGGCAAAGCAGATCGACGTCTTCCTCCAAACCCATCACATGGCCGACTACGACCGCCACGTCCGCCGCCGAAACACGGTAAGCTCGCCGACCGGGTTCAAAGACGAGCCCGTGTTCCGGCTGGGCTTCACATTCAGCTTCCCCGTCAAGCAGGTCGGCATCAACAAAGGCACGCTCATAAGATGGACCAAGGGATTCGACATCCCGGATGCCGTTGGTAAGGACGTATGCGCTCTCCTCCAGGTCGAGATCGACAAGCTGCACCTCCCCGTGAAGGTGGCAGCTCTTGTCAACGACACAGTTGGTACGCTCATGGCTCGGTCATACACATCCCCCGGCAAGACTGGCGCCGTACTAGGCGCCATCTTCGGCACCGGCACGAACGGAGCTTACCTCGAGAAGCTCGCAAATATCAAGAAGCCCCTGGAGGGTGAGTACGACAACTCGACCGGAGACATGGTCATCAACACGGAATGGGGCTCCTTCGACAACCAGCTCAATGTCCTGCCCAACACGCCGTGGGACATCCAAGTCGACAAGGACAGCGTGAATCCAGGCATCCAGATGTTCGAGAAGCGCGTGTCCGGCATGTTCCTCGGCGAAATCGTCCGCCGCACACTCCTGGACATGATGGGCAACGAGAAGATGGCCTTCTTCAAGGACGAGAACTCGAGCTTCAATGACTGGAAGTCGACGACCAGCATCGCCGAGCACTCGGGCATCTTCAAGCAGTGGGGCCTCGACAGCTCCATCATGTCGGTCGCCGCCGCAGACACGACGCCGGAGCTCTCTACTCTGCGGCAGGAGCTCGAGGGCCAGCTGCATGTGTACTCGCCGTCGCTCGAGGACGCACAGGCCTTCAAGGCCGTTGCTGGCGCCGTCGGTCGCCGGGCAGCGCGTCTGTCGGCCGTGGCTATCGGTGCCATCGTCCTGCAGACGGGTCAGCTGAGCCAGGCGGGCGATGAGCCGATTGATATCGGTGTCGACGGCAGTCTGGTCGAGCACTACCCGTACTTCCGCGACATGATCTACGAGGCGCTGCGCGTCATCGACGGGATCGGCGAGGAGGGGGCCAAGCGCATCCGTATTGGCATTGCCAAGGACGGGTCGGGCGTTGGGGCTGCCCTTATTGCGCTTGTTGCTGCGGGTATGGAGAAGGGTCAACCTGTTGGTGAGTATGTTTTCCCGAAGGTGGCCTCGGCTGTGACGATTGGGTAGGAGACAGCTGTCGAGCCTTTTCACTGGGGCACCTGACATCTGCTTAAAGTACGGTGCTGTCGTCATGCTAGCGGAGCGCTGTATTAAGCTACGAAGCCACGAAGGACGCATACGGTTGTTCTAAGGTGGGAATGGCGTCTTGGTAATGCATGTATTGCGCGAGTTGATTGTCTCTGGAGACGGGATCCAGGGTCTTGGTTCTCTTGGTACAAGGTGTGCTCAGATCGAACATGGGGACGAAGGCTACTGTGATGGGCAAGTGGTCGAAAATTAAGCAGGTATTCAGTCCTTGCGAGGATGTGGTTTATGATCAACACCGTGTCGATAAAGAAAAACGCACGCATTCTCTCTGAGGGATCGGATCATGTCTCTCCTGACAGCCTGACAGCGTGTACTTCCAGGCAGCTGCAACTTGACAGCTTCGGCTCTCTATGTCATCTCAGACGTGAACTGCCCCAGTCCTCATTATCATACAAAACGGCAACTCATCCGAGTTTTGCCACAAATCCAGCCTTTTCCGCTATCCCAATTGCTCGTGAACATGCCTCATAACTCCAACTCAAAACACAACAGCCCTGCCTTGCCAAACCACCCGACAGAACCAATATGTGAGACGTCCTCTCTCACTTCGATGCAGGCCCAAGGTTCCTCTTGACCACAAAAAACGCCACCATCAGCAGCGCAGCCAACATCATAAACACCCTGTTCCGGTGCTCATCGCCCTCCTGGTCCAGGCTATGCACGACAACTACAAACACGTTCAACGGGAACCTCAAGATACTGTACACCCTCCCCCGGACGCCGTCCTCAACAACCTCGCTCTTGAGCAGCGCCATACTCGGGAAATACGCCCCAATACTCGCCTCGATCGCGCACAGCGCCCAGAACACCCCCATCTCGTTCTCCAGCACCACCGCAGCGGACAGGCACGCGCTCGCCAGCAGCGTGACCGACATGAGCACGTACGCCGCGCTCTCGCGGTTGTGGTTGGCGCTGAACAGGCCGAAGAACGCCGACCCGCCCATCATGGCGCACATGAAGCACGAGAAGATGAGGCCGTACGGCAGGTCCTGGTCCGCCAGGGGTCCCCCGCTGCCGACGCGCGCCGACTTGAGCGCCGCCGACCAGAAGAAGATGAAGAGGTACATGGCGCCTTCGAAGAAGCACGACGTGATGCCCAAGGAGAAGATGCGGCTGTCGGACAGGATGGTCGTGATGCCGCTGCGCACGTCGCGGAGGGTGTTGGGCGTGATGGACTTGGTGCCGAAGTTCTCCCTCTGTTTTCATTTGTTAGCCAAAGCCCATCCCACACACACACAGCAAACCAAAGTCCAACTCACCCAAGTCTTAACAATAAACCACGCCGCCCCCAAACTACACCCAATACTCGCCACAAAAGGCCACACCCTGCCCCCCAAATAGCCAACCAACACATCCCCCACCACCCCACTAACAATAGCCACCACGCAGCTCAGCGTAGTCATGTACCCAAACACGCCGCTCAGCTTCAGCTGGCTGGCCGCCAGCCCGCGCGAGTGGTACTCGGTGATCATCCACGCCTCGAAGACGCTGAACAGCAGCGTGGTGCTCACGCCGCCGGCCAGCCGGCCGACGAACAGTACTGCCAAATTATCGCTGAACATGGTCAGGCACGTCACCACGTACATGCCGCAGTACACCAGGCACGCCAGCCGCCGGCCGTGCCGGTCCGCCAGCTCGCCCGCGAAGGAGGCGCTGATGGCGCCCGAGATGAAGCCCGCCGCGTACAGGGCGGCGACGGTCTTTTCGGGGATTTGCTTCTCGTACTTGTAGATTGCGTAGATGTGTGGGCCCTTGGACACAAATCGTTAACATTGACATTGACATTGACACCGGGAGATGGGGAGGTGTAAGTGGTGAGAGGGAGTAAAGTACCTGCAACCAATCCGCCGCCACAGCAAGCGCGTAGACGAGGAAGAAGTCCCACTGGAACTTGCGGACGGCCTCCTTGGATGCCGCCACGGCGCTGCTGCCGTCTATCTCGACGTCGCGGTCGGAATCATCGTCGCCCGATGCCGATGCCGCCGCCGTTGGCGGAGGGGCCGAGGCCGAGGGCTTCTGCTCCCGCTTGTACTGCCGGTAGAGCAGGTATGCGTTGCCGGCCGCGAAGAGGGCGAGGTTGAGCTGGTAGAAGGAGGACATTTTGGCGTGTTGGTAGTATAAGTTAGGTTGGAGCAGACGTGGGACATTTACGGTCTTGACTCGTGTAAGATTGATGGTGGAGGGAGGTCTGGACACGTTTCCTGGTGGTAGACAGTAGGATTCGGGGGATGGAATGCTGTCCCTTCCTGATTTCCCAGGTGTTCCGGCCGAGGGATGGATGAGTTGGGGGCAGAAGGGGAAGGCACGGTACGACGCGGCGGCAATGTCTCACTTTACGCCAGACACGCACCTTGGGGTCTCGAGGGAGTTTGTTGGGAGCCTGGTGCTAGATCTAGGTGCCGAGTCTGAATGATTGACTCTAGCGCAATTCAATCTATTGTTAAGTAGCAAAGATTCATGTCTGCTCTTGCTCCTGTTGGGCTTAATGCAAACGCGTGATGGCGGCTGAGGTTGGACCCCTATCGACTGCCTATCCCAACCTGCCTTAAGCTCAGCTGGCGGGGATCAAGGGAGGTTCCCCCGCTGCTTGGCATTTGGGGGCTTCCCCGTATAGCTGCAGGTGTGGCGTCATTGGTTCCTGGGCGCCAGGACCGGAATAGAAACAGTCCGCTTATGTTATCCTCGAATGCTGACGATGATATGAGGATAGCTTCAATTGTGTTGTAGATTAAACAAATGGCAAACCCGAGGGTCGACGGGCTCTGCTTCTTGTTAAACGACGTGTTTGGCCGTCCACCTTCACCTGCGATCATCCGATAGGTACGGTGGAATACGCCACGACTGCATGCAAGCTGCTGCGGTGCTCTCTTGTTGCAGATATCCTCTCATCAGTCAATATGAAATCTCATACAGTTGTCCAACCGAGCAGGGCAAAGTCTCAAACATCAGTCGGTCACCCTGTGAGACTCGATGAGATTTTCTTCATCCACCAATCGTGCCTATCTCCCTCATCACCGTCTATAACTCCTCGTCGGTACACTCCACCAGGGCGGCGATTGTCCATGAGCTCGGCCATGCTCGCCGTGGAACGAGCTCGACATCGTAGCTCTCCTCTGTCGCTGTCGTCAGCATAGCCATCAAAGCAGAGATGCCGTTAACCGTTCGCTCCTTGATTCAACCGCCGTCTGCATCCGATACAGATGTTCGAAGTATGTACAAACAAGTGTATCACCGTAAGTTAGCCACAAATGATACGGCTGAAAGATCTTCGAAGCACTGTCTCTCCTGAGCAGCTTTTCCATTAAAATTTGGTAAAGTCTTCTAACACGGTGAAACCCCCAATCTCAGAATCTTCAAAACCAAACGAGCGACTCCTCGACAAGCAACACAAAAGAAAAAGAATTGTCAAAAAGAACAGATCCCATATCACCCCTGAATGCTGCGCCAGCCGCGAATCGAACGCGGGGCCCATCGATGGCAACGATGGATTTTACCACTAAACCACTGGCGCGGAAGAGAGAAGGTAGATATATAGGAACCGAGTTGCGCCAGCCGCGAATCGAACGCGGGGCCCATCGACGGCAACGATGGATTTTACCACTAAACCACTGGCGCGGAAGAGAGAAGGTAGATATATAGGAACCGAGTTGCGCCAGCCGCGAATCGAACGCGGGGCCCATCGAGATCGTCGGAGCTGTTGAGGCTCGGCGATGGCAACGATGGATTTTACCACTAAACCACTGGCGCCTTGTGTTGATGTGGGAGCCGGGAGATTATGTCGGCTTGAGAAGTCCACTTGAGAGACGGGAACCCACATGCTAGGGGAGACGCTCACGCAGCATCGTGAAAAATGACTCGCGTGGAGCAGCAGTTGGGCACAACGGATGTCGGCTGCCGTGATGCGCCGTAAAAGGCGGTGGATATAAGGTATTTGTATGCGCGGGCCCGGTTTGTAGCCGCGAGCGATGCAACGGAGCTGAGCCGTAGTCCATTCTGCTTCCGCTCATGAGTGTGTCTTGTTTGCGTTGACGTCGATGCCACTCGGCAACACCCGACCGCAATTAGCTTACCCGTCCTCGCGTCCTCGCGGCACTGAGACGCCTCTCCCAGGAGCAACTGGAAGCGCACACACTTCCGGACTGAGATGCGAATCCAACACGTGTGAAGCGCAGCGCAAGAGCTGAGGCTCCGTCCGTCCAATCGAGCCACCGGAACTGTCCCAAATATCTGACAAGGCCAGGAACCGTCGCTCCACGATGCGCTCAACGGCTACACGGTTCTCCTGCCGCCAATCAAGCCGATGAATTGATATGTCGATCAAAGATCGCCGTGGCATTGCCAGTTCCCAAGAGACTTTCCGTTCCTGATTTTTGTCCCAAGTGGGCTCGAATGCGGCAGGAGTTGCCGCGAGAGTTGCTGAATTGCTGAATTGCGGCTGAGCTGTGAAGCCTCATGTGGAGTTTCGTCCCATACAAGGTGCGAATTTTGATTGGTTGAGATGCCGCTTTGAGGCACAGAGCTGCTCAGCCACTCAGCAGGGGTGCTGCTTGATTTGGACAGTGGACCTCCAGAGTCCTACGCACTCCGTAGGTCCTACGATCCAGTTCTTTGCGGCTTCCAGTGCGAGAACCGGAGCGGACTGCTGATTGATTCAATACCTTACGCATCACTGCATTGTGACAGTCCGCTGGCCAATCTGAAATCATCTAAAATGGATGTTTAACCCTGAGTCTGGAGGAAGAAGTAGAATCACGACAAAGGAAGGTCCCATGCTGCGCCGTGCCTTCCCGTTGTTCTTTGGCCGTCATATCGTGATTTGATGGAAGGAACGACCCGTCATGATCCTCCACCCCACAAGCTGCACTGGGTCCAAACCGAATGACGTGCCTGCGTGCCTGCCGGGAAGGACGAGAGACACCCACATCTCTGTTTTTCAGGACTGTTGGAGCTGCCACTGTAACATTCGGACCTCTAGTGACCACGGTCCGAATCTTTGATTGCCATCTCTGAGACTGTTATATCCTTCATTGCCGCCTTTAACCCTAAGTCGAAATCCACGACCTCGGCGACAGTACAAACAGCGCCTGACAGCAGAAGTTGTGGGATAAGCTTACTTCAGGTGGATCCGCGCATCAGATACATTGCCAACTTCCAAGACTGCCCGTCGTGTTACGAAGCCAAGGAAGCACACGATTTCTGAGACAAGAAAGAAGCTCAGACACTCCAAGCTTGCAGACGAGTAGCTGCCGTCTTTTACGCCGGTCTGGTGCGTAAAAGACAAAGAAAGTGTCTTTCACTCGCCTGAAGTCTGCTCGAGTTCGGGACCGACTCCAGCATCGGATCAGCCATCAGACAGCTGCCAGTATTGCTACAGTATTGCTGACAGCGGCACCGAAACCTGGCAGGTGAGGAACTCTGCTCATCTTGTACTGCAGCAGCATAAGGTATCCTGCAACTACTAACCTCCATTGGCTCTACGTATAGGATAGCAACATCCAGAGTGTAACGGCCTATCGGCATCACGAACAGTCCTAGGTTTACCCTAACATCAGTACATCATATTCATCACTCGTATGCCGACTCCACCGTCGCCGCGACAGTCTCAATCTCGAAACCACCCTTGCCCCTCGTCTGCCCCTCCTTTTAGACCTACATCGTACACGAGTAACACGACAGTGACAGCACCCAACGAGCACTGCCCAACCTCGCCAACCCACCCACACGATCCACACGAGTCCTGAAGGTCCCTCAGCCTTACACTCCCAACTGTCGCTAGCGTCGGTCAGCTGTATGCTGGCGCAGAATACCAAGTCAGCCACACGGCTTCTCGTCCAGTCCCACGAGTCCTGCAAGAGACACCCCACCTGGCTAGAACCCCAGTTACCCGCCTGGCAGCGCCCTCGGAACTCCAGCGATCCAGTCTCCGGCCACCCTCTGTCAGCCCCCGCCAGTCCTACGGCCAGAGGAACTCCCCTCCCAATTTCTCACGTTTCCCCTCAGCCAGGTGCCAGCTTGCTGCGCTTTCTCTGCTCGCTCGCTCTCTCCCGCCCGCTGCTCCCCCTCCCAATTCAAATCCACCCACCCCCGAGGCTCTCTTCCCTTTAATACCGTGCTCCCCCTATGAGTTCTATGAACTCTCGCCTGAAAGGCTTTGGTTTCGGCAAACGCAAATCTACCGCCAGCATCCAGCACGACCCGAACCTCCCCCAGAGCCAGACCCCTCCGCCTCTGGGTGCCCCTCAAATACCGCATCCGTTTCCCTCCCGTCCAGGTCCCGCTCCCTCCATCGCATCTACGTCGTCGCAACAGAGCATCCCGATGAATCAACAAGGTCCTGGCCCACGACCGCCCAGCTACACACCGGCGAACTATCCTCCCGGTCCGCCCCCAGTCGGCCGCCAGAGTCCCTTGACGCACCAAGGTCCTGCTCGGACGCCCCCAACCCAAATGGTCGGCGGTCCTCCACCCATCCACACCGGTGCGCCGGTCGCCGGATACCCTCCGCAGGTTCCTATGGGCGGTCCTCCTCCAGGGCAAGGTCCTCCCGGGTATGCTGGAGCTGCCGGCTATCCTCCCCCGGGTCCGGGACAGCCTGGCGGCATGCCTGTTGCCCCTTATTCCCGAAACGCAGCTGAGGTCGAGGGCAACAGCCGGAGTAAGGCTCAGCTGATTGTCGGTATCGACTTTGTAAGTAGCCCGCGATGCACTTCGCTGTCGATGCCGTGACACTGACTCTTATCGCTTCACAGGGCACTACGTTTTCCGGCGTTGCATTCGCATTCGCTACTAATAATGAGGCAAAGGAGGATATTATCACAGAGTGGCCCGGTGCTGGCTCGTATACGAAACAGAAGGTCGGTCGCGCACTACTATGGCAAGAAGAAGCTCGTGGCTAACTTGAGCATCAGATCCCCACCGTGCTCTACTACGACCAATATCAAAAGGTCGTCGGCTGGGGCCCCGATATCGCCGATGCTCTCGCCCCGACTGGGTACCCCAAGCCCGGTGTGCAAAAGGTCGAATGGTTCAAGTTGCAGCTGATGCTCTCCGGAAACACCTATATCGACCCGATCAACCTTCCCCCTCTTCCTCCAGGAAAGTCGGAGATTGACGTTGCGGCCGATTACCTGTTCAAGCTGCGGCAGGCGATGCGGGCAGCGCTCTTGAAGACTCTTGGAGAGGTCTTCAACCGTGAGGAGCGCAACATCCGCTACTACCTCACTGTGCCTGCTATTTGGAACGACGCCGGAAAGGCTGCGACCAGAGCTGCTGCTATTCAAGCTGGCTTCCTGCGCGACGAGAACGACAACCGTCTGACACTGGTCAGCGAGCCCGAGGCAGCAGCGCTATTCTGTTCAAAAACAGGTCTCCTGAACCTGAAGGTGCACGATGCCGTCTTGATTGTTGATTGCGGTGGTGGTACCGTCGATTTGATTGCGTACGAGGTCGAGGACGAGAACCCGTTCACAGTAGCCGAGTGCACGGCCGGCTCTGGCGACTCGTGCGGATCTACGGCGCTCAACCGGAATTTCAGCAACATTCTGCGGACCAAGATTCGCAAGATGAAGCTGCCAGATGGGTCAAAGACTGCTGGTCGTGTGTACGCCAAGTGCATCATGGACTTTGAGAACAGAATCAAGGCGGATTTCCGCAACAACGGACAGAAGTGGGCGGTGGATGTCGGCATCGAGGCCGAGTTCCCTGAGGCCGGCATCGAGGAGGGGTACATGACCTTCACTAACGAGGAGATCCTGCAATGCTTCGAGCCGGTCGTCAACCGCATCCTCGAGCTCGTGCGCAACCAGATCATCGCCATCCAGGCACAAAACCGGACGCTCCAGAATATCCTGGTCGTCGGCGGCTTCGGTGCATCAGAGTACCTCTTCCAGCAGATCAAGCTGCACGTGCCTCCTCAGTTCCAGTCCAAGGTCGTCCGGCCCATGGACTCGGTGGCGGCCATCGTCAAGGGTGCCGTGACTGCGGGTATCACGGAGCGTGTCATCACACACCGTATTGCCCGTCGCCACTACCTCATGGCGACGCTCCAGCCGTTCAAGGAGGGATACCACCCAGAGGCTTATCGTGTTCCCTCCCTCGACGGCAAGGACAGGTGCAAGTTTACGAGACAGATCTTCGTGCAGAAGGGGCAGAAGGTCAAGATTGGCGAGCCGGTCAAGGTGTCGTTCTTCCGACAAGTGGCTCCTGGCGCTACGCTGATGTACGAGGACATCCTCTACGCGTGCGATGACGACGTGTGCCCAGAGTACACCAAGGATCCCCGTAAGTTTTGTGTGCCTTGCCCAGATTTGATCAGAGCATATGTGCTAACACTTTCGCAGGCATCAAGGAGGTCGTGACGTTGACGTCGGATCTGTCGCGCAAGAACCTGGAGAAGGACTTTGAGCGGATGGACACGCCGCAAGGCACCTTCTACCGGGTGTACTTCGACATCTACCTAACGCTGGACGGGTCCGAGTTCAGCGCCGAACTGGTGTGCCAGGGCGAGGTTATGGGCCGCTGCCGGGCGAGGTTCAGGTAGAGTGACTCTGGTGTTTTTGGGTTGCGTCTGCATTAGTCGTTCCTTTTTGTGGTTATACACAGCTTCTTGAGATACCTCTTGGCGGATGCCCGCACGGAAGGGCGGGCGATGGACATAACAGAGTGACGGACGTGGTCTGAGACGACGGAAATGACGCATTTGCGTTGAGTTTGAGGTTATAGCACGATTTGCAGGCGAGGAAAAGAGC